AACGATACCTTTGCGGGCAACTGGGTAGGTGTTTATTACTTTATTAAGTGCCTTGTTGGCATAGGGAAATAGTGGTATGTATTTAGGAGATACAACAAAGGCGTCACAAGCCGATTTCTGTTACCAACACCGGTTCCAACCGCCAGTATCATTGCATTTCAGCAGGTACCGTCCCAGTGGCGTCGATACGTGGCGTCGTGGTGTTGGTGGTGGGCGTTAATGATGCACTTGACAGTGCTACCAAAAGTTTTAGAGTGAATAGGGTAGATTTGTTTTGAATGAGCACAAAAGGGTACGTTTTGCCGTTATGCATGCGCATTTTTGCGAGAATGCTTGAAACATTCCATAATATGCTGGTGCCATACCGCCAATATAGCTTTGTATTACTGGCTGCGACGCCTGGCTTCCAGCCGACGTCGTACCTTTGTATTACTGGCTGCGACGCCTGGCTTCCAGCCGACGTCGTGCCTTTGTATTACTGGCTGCGACGCCTGGCTTCCAGCCGACGTTGTACCTTTGTATTACTGGCTGCGACACTCGGCCTCCAGCCGACGTCGTACCTTTGTATTACTGGCTGCGACGCCTGGCTTCCAGCCGGCGTCGTACCTTTGTATTACTGGCTACGACGCCTGGCTTCCAGCCGACGTCGTACCTTTGTATTACTGGCTGCGACGCCCGGCTTCCAGCCGACGTCGTACCTTTGTATTACTGGCTGCGACGCCTGGCTTCCAGCCGACGTCGTACCTTTGTATTACTGGATGCGACGCCTGGCTTCCAGCCGACGTCGTACCTTTGTATTACTGGCTGCGACGCCCGGCTTCCAGCCGACGTCGTACCTTTGTCTTACTGACTGCGACGCCTGGCTTCAAAGCCGACGTCGTACCTTTGTCTTACTGACTGCGACGCCCGGCTTCAAAGCCGACGTCGTACCTTTGTATTACTGGCTGCGACGCCTGGCTTCCAGCCGACGTCGTACCTTTGTATTACTGACTGCGACGCCCGGCTTCCAGCCGACGTCATACCTTTGTATTACTGGATGCGATGCCCGGCTTCCAGCCGACGTCGTACCTTTGTATTACTGGCTGCGACGCCTGGCTTCCAGCCGACGTCGTACCTTTGTATTACTGGCTGCGATGCCCGGCTTCCAGCCGACGTCGTACCTTTGTATTACTGGCTGCGACGCCCGGCTTCCAGCCGACGTCGTACCTTTGTATTGCTGGTTGCGACGCCCGGATTCCAGCCGACGTTGTACCTTTGTATTACTGGCTGCGACGCTCGGCTTCCAGCCGACGTCATACCTTTGTATTACTGGCTGCGACGCCTGGCTTCCAGCCGACGTCGTACCTTTGTATTACTGGCTGCGACGCCCGGCTTCCAGCCGACGTCGTACCTTTGTATTACTGGCTGCGATGCCCGGATTCCAGCCGACGTTGTACCTTTGTATTACTGGCTGCGACGCTCGGCTTCCAGCCGACGTCATACCTTTGTAACGCCACGTGGCCCTCCGGCGCCGCGGTGCGGCGGTGACTGGGCGACAAACGCTGTACTGAAGCGTGCTTGTAAGCCGCTATAAAAGCAACAATATCGAGGAGGCCGACGTGCGCCGCATGCCTCCTTGGCAATCCATCCCCCAATTATGAGATGTTATGTGGCTGTGGCCGGGAGATGTGATGTGGCCAGGAGATGTGATGTGGCCAGAAGATGTGATGTGGCCAGGAGATGTGATGTGGCCAGGAGATGTGATGTGGCCAGGAGATGTTATGTGGCCGGGAGATGTGATGTGGCCAGGAGATGTGATGTGGCCAGGAGATGTGATGTGGCCAGGAGATGTGATGTGGCCAGGAGATGTTATGTGGCCGGGAGATGTGATGTGGCCAGGAGATGTGATGTGGCCAGGAGATGTGATGTGGCCAGGAGATGTGATGTGGCCAGGAGATGTGATGTGGCCAGGAGATGTGATGTGCTGGCCTCTGAGGCGCATGCGACGGACAAATCTCTTTACCAAGAAGCAAACGGCCTGAATTGTTCAGGAGTTCGAAGGAACCTGAAGCTGTGCCGTCGTGAGAATTCATATAATTTGAGATTTATCCACGTTAAGCTCGCGGCATTAACACATTCGAACGGCTGGTGGCACGGCTCGTCACCCAGGATCAGGTGCAGCCTCCGTGCCAGCGGACAGGCCGCCACTGCCGATCAGCTCGTGCAGACCGGAGCACAGGTCCCGGGCCCCCCGGAACACAGGTCCTGGGCCCCCGGAACACAGGTCCTGGGCCCCCCGGAACACAGGTCCTGTGCCCCCCGGAACACAGGTCCTGGGCCCACCGGAACACAGGTCCTGCCCCCCCCCCCCCGAAACATAGGTCCTGGGTCACCCGTGACACAAGTCCTGGGTCCCTTCCGGAACGCAGACCCTGCCCTCTCCCCCCTCCCCGAACACAGATCCTGGGTCCCCGCATTGAGAAAAAGGGTCTGTCTCCCCGCAACGTTAGGCCAAATCTCTCCGCAGGTCGGTCCCCAGCACCTGGCGAGTGGTAAGAGAACGGCCCCGTGCGGGGTTTCCTTGTCAAACCAGCAGGAGAGGGCAATGAAGCAGTTCTGTCATTGGCGCTTCATCAGGCTGATGGCTTTGAAAATCACGTGATACTTCGTTATGGCAAAGGAGCCGTCTTAAACATGGCATCAAGCAAGCACACCTAACGATGCTAGCTTCTCGTGATATAGGCCTAGGGGTGAGGGTGCAAGGTCCAGGGAGGTCAGAAGCTGATGGGTTGGGCGGGGTCATCCAAGGGCTGACATTCGTCCACTGGTTAGACCTAACCATCTCAGTGAACGGCGAGGGCGCCGACCTGGCCATGATGAAGCAGGTGGTGCGTTACCAGCTCAGCACGTCCACGTCAGCGCGTGCCAACGACTATGTTTGCGTTTTCCCGCGCGGCCAGTATTCAAGCGCTATAAAGACACGAGGTCTGCTGGAATTCGAACGTCGAATCCAGTGACGCAAATGCGCGCTTATGGCTTAAAAAATACATAATGAAACACCAAGATACTTCCCGCAAGAATGCATGCCTTGCAATGAAAGTATAGGTGGCTTTTGTGCTTATCAGTGGACTTCACGTGTTGTTTAAGCGCCACGACGCGAAATCGGTGATGTGGGATGAGATCATCAAGACAACGTTGAGCCCATCGTGCACTTCATTTCGTGTGCTGTGCAAAGTATAGCGTGCAACAATTGGCCCCAAAAGGGCAGCCGGATGGTTAGCACGAACTTTTATGACACACTTACAATCAGAATGCGCTCCATTAATCCTGAAATTTCTTCCTGACATGAGAGCTGATTGTTGGGCCGAGAAGGGCGCGCTGTGGCGGATCGGAAATAGCTGAAAATGTGAAGACGACGGCGCGAGCGACCGAGTGGGAAAGCTGGGTATATGCCAACTTTTGGGCGGGGGGGGGGGGGGGTACACAAAAGCCATTAAGCAATATCCGACGAGAATGATGTCTTGAATTCACAAGTGCCCTGGTTTTTTAATGGGGTCTGTCATGCTTGAATAATGTGTTACGTGAATTTCCGGCCACTTTTTATCTAATGTTCACACAGTAATATGTATATGGTTCATAAAAATATAAAATATGATCTATCAGGTATCAAATATGATGTGTGAAAGATATACAATCTGTCAAATACGATAAATGAAACATATTTCATGTATCAAATATCTGTAATACAACGTATATATAATATCAAGGGTGATCTAGTAAATGATATTCAGTGACACGTTCCATGTGTTGATTAGAAAAAATAAATAGTCGCACGCATTAACTTGACTTAGTCATTGAAATGCTTGCCTTGGCATTAAAGGAAACGTTTTGCATTTAAAGATGCTGAAGCACACATCAAATATAATGCAACCAGCGCGCTTATGTCTATTGGTATACTTTCAAGTAGAAAGTACGGCTCCAGACAAGACACTATGCTTGTTTAGTAAATGTAACTAGGGTGGTTTAAGATGGATTAAGGTGGCTATTCCAGTTCAAAACCACATAGAAATATGGAACACTCCCTTTTCGGAGAGGTCTCAGAAGGTTTGGATTCCTTTAGCACTATAAAACTCTGTCTTGTACTACGCCCTAAAGTGCGTGGCCTAGGTCAAAACACGTCTCGATCATGGTTGGTCAGAGCGGTTAGGGAGCTACGAATGTTTTTAACTGCTAGTAGTTTCCTCTGCTTAACTCGGAATGCTCCGGCGCTTGCGCGCGTCGGAGGATTGTGATGTTCTGGGCGACAAATATCATGTCAATCTGCGATGTCATCCCTCTCAGAGCCTGCCAGTTACCCCGGATTGATGTTGCCGCTCGGCGCTTCATCTCGAGTTGTCATTGCATTTATTAAAATGGTGCGTAGTAGAACAAGTTTAGCCTGCTTCTGTCATGTTTAGTCGTGACACCAGAAACGGCCCACAATCTGGGCCACTTTGAATACTTGGTTGATGTGGCTCATGTTTGAGTAGTGCATGCATGATAATTGGTTGATTGGATTGTTGTTGACCTTTGTCGACATCGTGAATAACAGTCTCAATTGGCGGAGCTCTAAATACTGCGTTGGAATTGTGTATGTGATTGAGTTTGTCTTCTTGTTTAGGGGTGCACAGGGACTGACAGAAATCGATGAAGGCAAAACATGCTGAGAGGAGAACAGAGTGATGGCGTTGGCAGATGGTTATCAGAATGGAACGCACATAACTTTCATGTGTGAAGCTGAACATGTGAATGATCCGGGCAATTGTGTATACTTTTCCGCAGGCATGTCGGATCGGCCTGAAAAGTTGATCGGTAATACCTGTTTTAGAATACCAGATTAACGCATGCAATATCGTGAGATCCATGGCGATCTTTCATGGCAATCTGGACTGGGCTTCCGACCCGTTCTGACCTGTGCGCTTTTCATGACCGCCATATAAATGAGGGGCCCGCTCCCTGATGTCGCTCTGGTTCTGTTTCAGATTTAAGAAGTGTACAGAGAATGGCATGGAGAAAACGTGGGTGATGACCGAGAAGGAGAGGACGGAGCAGCTCAAGGTCAGACGGGGTCACCCCCGGTCATGCTGTGGGTATTTGTGTTGTCAGTTGATTCGGATGGCGTGCTGCATTGACTCGATGCTGTTGCTAGCTGCGCCCTGACGTATTTCGTCGGTCTCGCTGTGCGCTTGCCGACTGTGCCTGCGCTAATCTTAACACCAAACACCGACGTGTGGCGGTGGTGATATCCGAATAACGTTCTGAACATTAAAAAATTACAAAACAAGCGATTAAAAGTTTACGCACGACTACTTGGGTACACGAAGAGGCTCGCTATGCAGACTTTCCTTGATGCCCGTAATACAAAGCTCCTGTTCAAAATAGTGTGTGCTATGTTGCCGTTAACATTTTTTATAGGTGTTCTGAGCCGCCCTGAGTGCGAACATGGTTCGCTCTTGGTATTCGATGCTTATTATTTACTCCCCTTACCGCGGAGCACCTGTCGCCAAAAACTGTCATATCAGCTGTCCCGCCGTCAGATGCAGTGAAGTTACGAGCTGTGTTGCAATATATCCACTTGTGTGGCAACATGGTAAAACAATCCCCGCGCAGCTCTGGCGCAGCTGATCGTGAGAGTTGCCGATCGGGGCGTCATACACGGTCGTGTCCAAGCGGGCGGCACTGCCCCTGATTTGGGGACGCTTCATGGCCCCGCCCATGAGCATCCTTCCTGCGCCTAAGTTGGCCGTGCATACTTATGCTTGCCGCCTGCAGAACGACGTTGTTGCGGTCCTGCCGTTCTGCTCGGAAACGGTGGCCGCCGGTTGTATTGCAGTCCTGCCGCTCTGCTCGGAAACAGTGTCCGCCGGTTGTACTGTGGTCCGGCTGCTCTGCTCGGAAACGGCATCCGCCGGTTGTATTGCGGTCCTGCCGCTCTGCTCGGAAACAGTGTCCGCCGGTTGTACTGTGGTCCGGCTGCTCTGCTCGGAAACAGCGTCCGCCGGTTGTACTGTGGTCCGGCTGCTCTGCTCGCAGACGGTGTCCGCCGGTTGTATTGCGGTCCGGCTGCTCTGCTCGGAAACAGCGTCCGCCAATTGTACTGCGGTCTGCCTGCTCTGCTCGGAAACAGTGTCCGCCGGTTGTCTTGCGGTCCGGCTGCTCTGCTCGCAGACAGTGTCCGCCGGTTGTTCGCGATGCACACAGAAGCTGTCCCGGACGGCGTACTTTGCTCGGGCCGTAAAACGATCGACGCAATAGGCAGGGACGAAGCTTTGCCGCATGCTCAATGGGCTTGAGAGAACGTCAGATGGTGAAACCCACACCAAATACTGCTCAGATTCTGGATTTATGATCCGGTTTCCGTTTGCTCCGCTTCGTATTCAACTTTGGGATGCGGGTGGGGGCGCAAAGTTAGGGAGCAGTCAGTAAGGGACTTCAACCCCTTCCCGAAGCCCGTTTCAAGAAAATGCGCAACAATGCTGTATGTTCCATTTCATGATATACATCATGGCAGGCTCAGTTTGTATAAATGTTTCGGCCAGCGTCCCCATGTATGTACCCGCCGAATATCTCCTTGATATAAACTGCACCTCACGGACACGACACTGCTCCCAGCTTGTCGGCACGTCGGATTTTCGGGGCAGCTTCGGGACATGTCGGGTTTTCGGGACAGCTTCGGGACATGTCGGGTTTTCGGGACAGCCTCGGGACATGTCGGGTTTTCTCGGCGCGTGACGTCACGCACATCGATCGCCGTCGTTGGCGATGGAACTGAGGCTGTTGCACTATTGTTGGTTGGCCTGGCGGCACCGACGACTAACAAAACGATGGAGCAGCTAGGAAGCATTCATTAGTTTTCCATTGAGAACTTTCCTGTTATATCATAAAGGACCTAGTTCCCGGTTATGCCGCCGTTGGGCCGCCGCCAAAATGGCTGCATTACTGTCATGAGCCCAAAAGGTTTGGCTAGCAACAGCCAGATTAAACAGATTTCCTCGCGTCGGCAAAGTTAGTTACTCATGCAAATTGAAACAGATCCGGTGACAGCAGTAATTTTGCGGTGAACACATACATAAAACTTGTAAGAAATATGTCCATATGTGGACGGTGGTGTGCAATGCGCGAGAGCGTCATTCATATACTCAGCTGTCATCGCATGAGAGCTGTTGCATCGTATAGCATGGTCGTTATTTGTTGTTTGCGCACACCGTTGTCGACGAATGCTTCGCGATGTACACCTGGAAAGACACGCGGTTCCCTTTTTGAACCCTGCGTTCGGCTTTGCTGATGTCCTGTGGAGCGTTACCCACCAACTGTTCTACATCCTCGGGAGCTTTAACATGTGTGATGAACAACTTAGCCAAGCGTATCCGGTACGTTTAACTTCTGTGGTAGCATTTTCCATGCCTTGTGTCCGGTTCCCACAGTCTCTTGTACAAGTGCAGCTGTGCGTGCAGTAATCCGAGTTCGTTTGGTCTTGATTACGCTCCCACGTCTCCTGACTCTGGTTTGGTCTTGATTACGCTCCCACGTTTCCTGACTCTGGCTTGGTCTTGATTACGCTCCCACGTCTCCTGACTCTGGTTTGGTCTTGATTACGCTCTCACGTCTCTTGCGTCTGGTTTGTGCGTCGGCTCGACACATTCGGGCGTAAGGAACCTAGCAATGGTTTTTGTGTTTTGTTTAAAGCGAACGCGATGCACGGTGCCACGCTTCCTTTCATGGAGCACATGTGACTTCATAGCGATTGGCCGTATTAGCCCAGAGGCTATGGCGCAAACGCGGGTTAACCCGGGCCCTCACGTGGGAGTGCAAGGCAATAACCACTCGGCCATTAGGACCCCCCCCCCCTCCCACACCTGGCAGTGAGTTAACAAACTCTCTTATCCGCCACACAGTTATACAGGGACACACCTGGTGTGAAGCACGGCCTCATGCTGTCCTGTTGAAACAATTTACAGGCATGCAATAGCTTGTGCACACATTTATACGATATTCGCTGTTCAGAGACGCAGCTTGAATCCAGGTCATGGCACATTACTGATTTAATCAGACTTGTCGTGCAACCAAAACCTAAAAGCTGCTTACTGTCCCGTTCATGTCAACACTGTAAAACGGTGATGAACATCTTTTCACGGACACCTTATCTTTGAAACGTGAAGGAGAGGTCTTCACCTATCCATCGACAGGCTCCCACCTGACCGTCTATTCTTATTTTCCCTGTTTACCTCCGAACGCTGGAAAGGCCGTGCTTTAGTCACCACACACGAGTGGTAGTTCGTAAGGGATTGGAGATGTCTACAATGCAGACACACATCTCTCGTTTTCAAATTCCGCCCTGCTCTCACCTCCGAGTTGGGCCCTCGGTCCGGGACTCTATTCACCGCCCCCTCTCGCCTCTGTTTCGGGTCGGGAGTCCGGGACCCTGTTCGCGGCCGTTTCCCGCCTCCTACCTCCTACTCACCACCAAGTCTTCTGTTTCGGGCAGATACGCCAGGAAAAGAAGCGCCAGAAGCAGCTGGAGGAAGAGCGTCGCCGCAGCTCCCAAGAGCACAGCCTGCTGCCGTACGAGCGGAACCCGGCGGACCGTGGCAAGTTCCTCTCCGACGCGGACATGCAGGAAATCGACGAGCTCTTCAGCTCATTCTACAGAATGTGAGCGGCTCCGAGCCTGAGGAGTGCGCCGCCGGGGAGAGGGGAGGCTTGCCCGACGACGCATGCGGAAAATCCGATGCAAGGTCTGGCAGTCTAGTGTTGTAGTGTTCGTAGTATCGTCGTTAACGTAGCTACCTTCCACATAAGTGAGGCTGCATAGCGCAACGCTGCGATTCACAAAAGATCACTGTACAGCCGCGCGCATGATGATCAGTACAGCTACGCGCATGATGATCATTGTACAGCTGCGCGCATGATGATCATTGTACAGCTGCGCGCATGATGATCATTGTACAGCTGCGCACATGATGATCATTGTACAGCTGCGCACATGATGATCATTGTACAACTGCGCGCATGATGATCATTGTACAGCTGCGCACATGATGATCATTGTACAGCTGCGCGCATGATGATCATTGTACAGCTGCGCGCATGATGACCTCAAGGATGGAAGGTTTCGTCGTTAAGTCGTGCCCGATGCGTCGGAGCCGCTTCCCCAACCCACTCTCGCGACGAGCTGCAGGTTAGGAAGGCGAGGGGATGAGGGACAACCACTCCAGATTGCGGTCAAGTAAAAGTGAACCCTACGCAATCGCAACACGTGGCGAACGTATCCACCGTATGGTCACTGCACTCAGGGCTTACCCTCGGGGCTCGGGCGTCGGATGACGCAGCGGAGTTATCTAGCGGTGGATACTGGTCCGCATCACTTAGATTCACGACGAAACGGTGCTCAGGGGAAGCTCAAAGCAGAGCTCGTTCGAAAACCGGGCATATACGTAAAGCACACTCAAGCTGGAAGTAGTTCTGCGAAAAATGCTCAGCAGGTCAACTATAGCACCAAGTGTTATGGGAATGATGTTGTTAACAATTAGGTTCCATATTTGTCGTGGTCAGGTCGATCAAGACTTCCGTTTGTGTGGCGCTGTGGAGACTCGTGAGCATCGTCGCACTGGTCGACGGCCGTGTACACAATGTTCAGATGTGATTGGTTGTGGGTAGTGACCGGTCTTGCCCCATTTCTTGTCTGGAATGAGAGCGCGAGGGTCTTCATGACGCTTCACGACAACAATGGGGCAAATAGTCCACTGCAGAAACAACCCTGGCCCACCCGGCCGGTATGGGCACTTCATTTTGACTCAATTTAGCCCAAAATAGCTCGCTCGCTGATACCCGGACCGCAAACAAACAGACTTCCCCATAAGAACAAGGACGTCGCCCCAATCCCGGCCCGCTCTTCCAAATCCAGGTCCGGATCTAGACCTGGCCGGGCTCAGCTCTCGTCTAGACGGCTGTTCTGCAAACGATGCCTGGTCGGGCGCGAGCGTGGTCCGGCCGCCGCACTCTCAGCGCGTCGAGCGCGGTCGGGGACGCGCCACAGTGCTGTTATTAGTTCGTGGCAGTGTAGTCTGCGATTGTGTTCCTCTGGGCTGTCACCGCAGAGAACCGCTAGTGAAGCGCCTTCCCTAGCAACATGAGCCCCTGATGGCAATGGCCCTGGTAAATCGCCGTCACAAAGATGTGCTGTGCAGATGCATCGACTGGAACAGTTCCCGACAAGAGGAACGTTAATCTCGCATTCCGGTCGTAGCCCTTGCCGTCTGTTGTCTGCATTCTCCGCGAATGTTGGCCCTAATTGTGGCTGCCATTGGCATGCTTCGGCTCGCCCATAGAGTGACTCTTACCCCTCATCTCGGTTCGCTGTTCACTGAAGGACAGGTTCCTTCGCAGCGGTGACTTTTACCCTTTGTCTCGGCCCGCTGTTCACTGAAGGACAGGTTCCTTCGCAGCGGTGACTCTTACCCCTTATCTCGGTCAACGTCGCGCTTACCTGAACGCTGAATTATTGGTTCCAGGCAACGTTCAGAATAGCGGTTTGCCGAATGCTTTTGCCACCGAATGTGAGAATCCCGAGTGGTTCTTACCGTCATGCTATAAAGGTGAACGGCTAAAAGGCAGGAGCAAAGTGGATACTTGCCTGTTTGATAATGAGCAACTTGTCGGAATGCCATTCGGTAGGAGTGCCAATTAAATGAAAACTTATAAGCTGTAAAGTTAATTAACTTAGTGCCAATGCGCCGAAACGGGATTTAGGCAAATGGGAAGCAGACGAATGAAAAATCACCGACTGGTCCATCTACCAATCGCCTTGTTGTTGATTGTTTTAATGCAACGAGCGGTAATTGGACAAACGTAAATTCGGCGAATGTTCAAGCCGAATTCAATTAGTTAAAATGTGAAATGAGCCATTTCAAATGATCTGATGTGACGACGGCCGCAAGCGGCCAATGACGAACCGTTATGATTTCTGCTTGTCGGAAACGCAAACGAACCGTAAACGGTCAATAAATTACGGTCCGCGTTGATAGGTTGGCGGGGCGTAACCAATACTGTTAAGGACATGGAGCAATTCGATTTCGCCTTGTTTCTTTAGGTCTTGTTATAGCTGGGCGAGTCAATGGAACAATAGCCTCCTGTCACGTCTGCTAGAGCCCACCCGATGAACCTATTGAGACCTACTCAACGCTGTTTTCTACATTGTCTTGACATGCTTAGTTTTTGCATTAACATGAGGATGGACCTGATCTGACCCGCCAAAAGTCGTGCTCGCCATCGTTCGGTCGCACATATGTAATGTGCTTCAAAAGAGCTTTACAATCCCACCTTTCCAGTGGCTTTAGCTCGCTTTGTTGTTGACACATTAACGAAGATCTGCTGAGGCCTCCCATCGTAGGGTGGCGGCGAAAAATCACGCCCACATAGCGAAGGCTATGGGTCTCCGTCTTCTGCTCATCAACAACATTTAGACGTGCAGCCACTCGACGTAAGATCACTTCGGTAAAGAGGCATTCGACTAAAACGCATTTCGATGGTTCGCAATCTGCTAAAGAACCTGTCGGCTATCTACCATTCGACCAAAAATTGTTTTAGCTAATTCACGTTTGAATAAGAACCATTTCGACAATCGACAAACGACTTCGTGTAAAAGTGGCAAACGACTAATGCAAATTTCAGGAAATTGGCATTTAACAAAAAACACTTTGGCTTTATAACATTTCATCAAGTCGACACGTCGGCAAAAAGGCATGTCGGCAACCTGCCGCTTGATTTTTAGCATCCCGTCTTCTTGACATCGCAGGAAAAGGACACGTCGGCCAGATGACTTCCAGGTGGGTTAAGTGCATCCGGCTTTAAGACATTTGGGCAAATACCCTTCGACCATTTATCCGGACTTCAAATGAATAAGGTGGGATGGGTGGGTGAGATAACCTGGCATGTATTCTTGCGTTGGTGCTGAAGACTCACTGATAAATACGTGGCCTTTCGGCACCAATTCTACATACCCAGGTGGTTACTGGCACGTGTGTGTGGTACGTGTGTGTGTGTCGGTAGTCGTTGCAAAAATTCCACACACGTTTGCCCACAAACACACAGATACAAGGGATATAACCCAATGAGCTGAAACGACTGGAGGCAGCCTCCCTCTTCAAGCTATAACCTGCAGCTTAATTGCAGGTCCACGTAAAGGGAATGCTTCGTATTTTATATTTGAAGACATTGAAGCAGGCATCAGATAAAACGAAACAAGCTCAGTTGTACCGACTGGTATCCTTTTTGATCGGAAAGAAGTGCTCTGGACAGCACAATTCTTTCTTTGGCAAATATGCTCCTCAACGCGTCATGGTTTGATTACGGCATCGTACCTTGCACAACATTGATTGAAAGCCAGTTGACGGCCATTATGTCTGTTGACGGCCAAATCGCGGTCACGAACGCCAAATATAAACGCCTCGGCGATTACATTTTTTGGCCTTGATCGCCGCTTGGCTTATTGAATGGTAGGATTTGAATGACTTTATTATGACGTCGTGAATGACAAGGTGACTTCGAAATGCTCTCCCCGATATACCTTTCATTCTCGCGGGTGTGTATCTCAGAAACTAGATGGGGTTAGGGTTGAAGAAGGGCAGGATTGTGAACAACACTAAAAGGTCTTCAAGGTGATTATTCAGGTCAAACCCGATATGAATGTGGTACACTCCCTTTATGTGAGGAGAAGATGGTGTCGGAGGGCTGGTATTGCCCGCTGGGCTTGAGAACGTCGAAATCGGGGTCTACGGAGCGCCACAGTAGGGAGCCCGTCCCTACAACGCCGCTGATCTCATCCCGCGCGCGCCAGACGGAGCTTTGTCAAATGTCTCCAACAGCTGCCAGACAGCCACGGTTGGAGGCATCACGCAAGCAAAGGTAAATCTCTCCCCTCCCCTCCCCCTCCCCCGATGTGACTGCCGTAGGGCCGTCGGGCTGACAAAAGCATTTCGGCACATGGCTGAGAGGGTCGCTGACCTCGGAACGGGGGTGGCCTGGATCACAGCTGGGCAGAGGGACAGCCGTGCCCCGGACCACAGCTGGACAGGGTTGCAGCCGTGCCCTGGACCACAGCTGAGCAAAGTGACAGCCGTGCCCTGGACCACAGCCGGGCAGGGTGACAGCCGTGCCCTGGACCACAGCTGGACAGAGCGACATCCGTGCCCTGGACCACAGCTGGACAGAGCGACATCCGTGCCCTGGACCACAGCTGGACAGAGTGACAGCCGTGCCCTGGACCACAGCCGGGCAGGGTGATAGCTGTGCCCTGGACCACAACTGGGCAGGTCCAGGGCACGGCTGTCACGCTCGCCACGCTCCAGTGTCGGAAGTAGAATAACCGCAGTGCCTTGCAAGTCCGGTGTGGACTGCTTTATGGAACATGGTCACCAATACTTACACACGTTCGCGATACGTGCTCGTGCTCGAGCTGGTGGCCTTCACACCACCCCCCTGCAGTCCTCGCAGTGACGATCCTTGGCGCTGGTGTCCCTCACACCACCCCCTGCAGCCCTCGCAGTGACAACCCTTGGCGCTGGTGTCCCTCACACTACCCCCTGCAGCCCTCGCAGTGACAACCCTTGGCGCTGGTGTCCCTCACACCACCCCCTGCAGCCCTCGCAGTGACA